CCCACAGCGGGTGGTGGAAAGGGCTGAGAAGCAGGAGATGGGGACCCAGCCTCGCCTGGCCTCTACTTAGCTGCGTGACCCCAGGGCAAACCCTGCTGAACCTCTCCCTGAGTGCCAGTGCCTTGGTTTTCTTCTCACTGAGAAATAAGCTAGGTATTCAATGTGGGAATACTCCTTCCAGTGTGGGAATCTCCAATGTCAGCAGCAAAACGGTCCCAACCAGAAGCAGCTGAGAAAGCGTGTGCCTGGCTTGGAGGAGGCCCCGGTCAGAGACCGACAAAGGCGCCCTGTGCAGGCCCTGCCTCTGGCCTGGCCCAGAGTTCTGGAGGTTTCCATGCCCAGGCCCAAGGGCTTCCAAGAATCACAGTTGAAAATTATTACTTGAAAATTGTCAGACCGTTTACTTTGTGTTCCTGGAAGCTGTTGTCCAGGAAAGGTGGTGACGGGTCAGGAGAGAGACAGAGTGAACACAGGAAGAGCGTGGAAGACAGTGAAAGGAGGAAGAGGGGGAGGAGAGAGAGGAGATGGAGTGGAAAGGTGAGAAGAGGTGAGGCAAAGACAGACACGGACAGACAGACTGGGAGGCTACAGAGAGAGGGCAGAGCTGGCAGAAGCGGCAGCGGTGGCTCTGAGCGAGGCCCGGACACAGGGTTCAGATGACCACAGCTTTGGCTTCCTTCAGCCCGGGCACTGCCCGGCCTCGAAACAGATGCAACAGGGTGCTTTCTTAAGCGGAAACCTCCTCTCCTGTGAAGGGGGGCAGAGCCGTTGGGTGGTTATCTTGCTGTTCCCTTGAGCACACTCAGCCCACACCTCCATTCCCCGTTGGCCGGGGGGACACAAACATTGCTTGATTTTCTGTAAAACACCACAAACCTCCCCTCCGAAGCAGCCCTTCTCCTTTGCTCCCCGGCCACCAGGAAACCCATACCAAACGGCAGCCACTGTGACTGGCATCGCAAAGGTCCTAGCAGGTCACAGAGTCCCGACCCAGGCATCACCTGGTTCCTAGTGCGGCGACAATCACTACCATTGAGTAAGCACCTACCACGTGCCCACGCTGGGGTCAAGCTCTCCACGTGCGCTGCACACCGAATCCTCATAAAGGCACAGTAGAGGCAATGATTCATCCCATTACACAGCAGGAAAGCAGGCCGTCCGGCCGGCTTCAGAGCCCATGCCTCAGCCACTACTCTAAGTTGAAATAAAATATAACTGCCTGTGAAGCACAGTGTCGTGACAAAGGCTAAAGGAGCTTGGCTCTGCCGCTTAGAAGCAGTGCCACCGTGGAGAAGTGGCTTGTTTGCTCAGTTCGGTTTCCGCAACTCTAAGACAAGAATAACAACCTTGGGGGTTGCTGTGAGGATTAAAGGAGATCATGTGAATCACTGAGCCCAAGCCCTAGCCCGGTGGGGCTCAGTAAAGTTTTGTTATTCAGGACAGGCCTGGCACACCTTCAGCCCAGCCTCTTCCCTCCACCGCGCTTGGCCTGCGGGAACTGGAGGAGGATGTGGGCGTCGCTGGAGCATCACCTGGGTGTCAGGCACAGTGCCCGGGTGCCCAGGAGGGTCAGTCAGCGAGGGGCCTGTACTCTGGGAGGTATTAGGATTCTGGCCCCCCGATCCCATGCCGCAGCCAACTCCTCTGTCCTATCTGTCCCACCCTCAGCCACTGGCAGGGCCCCCTTGGGTGGGGTGGGCAAGGCAGGGCAGGGCAGGGCTGAGCACAAGGCAGCAGGGCGTCATTATCGCTCCCAGCAGAGCTGGGGTCAGGGTTAAGCCTGCCTTCTTATCAGGTCCCCAGGCCCTGTGCTAACACATGCTGCCTGGCTCTCTGGGGGCTGGTAGGGGGGCCCTGAGGACGCCGCTCAAGGTCTTCCTCCTCTGAAATGGTCCCTGGAGCAGGAGTGGGAGAGGCAGCCTGGAAACAGAGAGAGCGCACCTGGCTTGGACACCGTGTCACCCTAGGCAATCCCTTCCCTCTCTAGTGAAAATCTGTGAAATTGAGGGTGGAGGGGCAGCTGGATGACGTGACCCCTAAGTCCCTTCCAGCTCTAAAGAGTTAGGATCCTGTAGCCACCTGTGAGCTAGCCACCATGGTCATCCTGTTTACAGACGAGGGAGCTGAGGCCAAGCAGGGGGAAGAGACTCGCTCCCATAACATACTAGTTGGTAGCAAAGCTGAGCGACACTCAGGCCTCCCAACTCCTGGCCCAACGCTCTTCCCACCCCACATACACTCTGACCTTCTAGAAGGTCATGGAGGAAAGGTGTAGAGATGACAAGGGGGTGGCTGCTTCCAGGCTCCCCCTCCTTTCTTCAGATTCCAGGAGTGGCCTGGGGACCTCTCAGAGGGGCTCCAGACATGTGGGCACCTGGCAGCCCTGCAGGGTTGGGGCCCAAACCACTCCTTGGTTCCTGTCCAAGGGAACGCAGGGACAGCAGGGCTTCCAGGCTGTGTGTGGAGAGCTGGCCCCATTTTCGGGCCCTGATAACACCCCTCCCCGTATCAGTGGGCCAAGGACTGCGAGGGGTGTGTCTGGGCATCAAGGGCAGGTTCGGCAGAAACGTGGAGGTAGAAAGGGAAGGTGGTGCAGCTCAACTGAGGCCTCCAGCCTGGCCGGAAAGAATCTCTGAGGGCGCCCAAGGCTTAGGGGAGACGGTGTGGGGAGTCACAGGAAAGGGTGAGCTAGGTCTGCTTACACCTTCAGGAGCAGAAGAGCCTGATCCGAGGGCTTTCCTAAAGAAATCCTAGAAATCTCAGGTTGGGAGGGCCCAGAGACCCAGCATCTACACCCCAGAGCAGGAGGGGACATGGCCATCTCTGAGAATCTGAGGAAGGTTACGTCCTTGCCCAGTGAGAAAATGAGGCCCAGGCTGTGGGGGGAGGTGACTCACGTGTGACTGAGGACTTGCGAGGCCCTGCCTGAGACAGAATGAGCCCCCTGTAGAGCTGGAGACGGGGACCCGGTAGGTACAGTCCTGATGAAGCAGCCAGGACCACGGACGGACGGCAACAGGTCAGGCAGGACTGGGCCACCCCAGAGTCTGTGGCCCGGCCTTCTCAGCGCCCTGTGGAGCTGGGGTTCTGGGCAGGCACCATTTGGGCACCCAGCCAGTTCCATGAATATCCCTCCATCCAGGCTTTGGCCCAGGTTCCTGAATCTTCTTCCTCTCTGGCGGAGACCCAGACCACCCTGAGGACTCCCATTTGGGAGGAGGACTGAGGGCCTCTCCTCACTGCTGAGCAGCCTGGGCTGAGCTGAACACACACACAGAGGCCACTCACGCAGATCTGTGTAGCACATACACCCTGGGGTCTGGGGCTCAGAAAGTCTCATGCCCTCGTCCCCTCACCCCGTGACCATGGACTGTGGGCTTCCCAGACAGGAAAACCTGCTTCAGCTTTAGGTGTAAACGTGGCCCTAAGGATTTTAAATGTGGCCACTGAGGCCATTTACAACAAAGCTGAAACTGGGCTGCCTTTTTCTATGGCAGTGAGTACCTTGCATCCCTCCCCAGAACCCAAGGTTAACCCTGAGAGAGCTGAGAAAAGGCTTGAACCCCAAGGGGGGCTTGGGACTGGGGAGACCTGGGACCAAGGCAAAGGAGGCGAGAAAGAACTGGAGACCCTGGGTTGAATGAAGCTGGCCAGGAGCCGGAGAACCAGAGCCACAGGGGTGGGCGAGGCTGGGCCTGGGGCTGCCAAAGACAGGGCGGGAGGAAGAGGGAAGGGCAGCTTTGAAGGCGTCCCAGCATAGAGAGAAACAGAGCCGAATCCTGCATCGTAGGTCACCCACCTCCCCAGACCGGGCCCTCAACACACAAGCACATGTGCACACACAGACACACACCTTCACAGGCCCCCGGGGTGCTCATCTGACCCTTTGGTGGTGTCCTTCCCTCTCACCTTCACCGCACCCCACTTCACTTGGGTACACGGGGGAGAGGAAGCAGTGTGGTCAGTGTCCATCTTCACCTCCTAAGGCAGCAATTCGGTAACTTCAGGGTGGTAGGATCCCATGGAGCACTTGACGGTAATTCAGGTTCAGATTCCTGTCCTCCCCCCACCCTGAGATTCTGAGCCCGTGGTCTGGGGCCCAGGTAATTCTGAGAAGGTGGTCCTTGGAGGGATGCTGAGTGGCCCGCTAGCTGTGTGGTGGAGAAAATCATCATAATCCTACTGGCTGCATTCATTGCATGCCTACTGTGTACCTGGTGTTTCTCACGAACCACCTCGTTTCATCCTGACAGCCTTCCTGGAAGGTGCCATTATTTCCATTCCCAAAGTCACACTCTGGCCACTAGAGGAGACACAGTTTGACTTGGTTCCCTCCATTCACCCCAACCTACCCACACACACAGACTCACAGAGCCTGGGACCCACGCCAGGGACAGGACCAGAACCAGCATCTGACTCCCCACAGCAGGAGGAAATGGCTGGGTGAGACCCACCTGCAGGAAAGTTGCAGGGTTGGTCTGTGACGGAGAATACTCCCACCCACCCACCCCACCTGGGATGAGACAGGGGGACCAGCCCACCTGCGAGGCTCCAGGGGGCACGGCTGGACCGGGCCAGTCTTGGCGAATTCCCAGGTGGCGGGCGCCCCCTGCAGCCAGACAGGGGTGGTGCAGGGAAGAGGCGGGACTTCGGGCTCACACCCCGGCATTGCTGGGTTTTCTCTTCCATAGTCTCCAGCCGTCGCTGTGGCTGTTATGGTTGCCCCATTTTAAGGATGAGAGCAAGGTTGAGTGTCTTGACCGAGGTCGCAGAAGGCCCTGGCTCTTCCCTCCCAGGGGCTTCGTCCCAGCCCTTCAGAGCCCGCCTCATCCACACTCCCTCGCATCGAGGACAGACAGTGCATCAGGACAGTTGTAGGAGGTTGGCAAAGGGTATTTAATGGGCTTTGGGCGGGGGGGGGGGGGGGGGGGGGGGTCTCAGCACTCCCGCCAGGCGAGTGGGCAAGGGCAGGGCACAGAGGTCTCCACAAGGGGCTCAGGAGGTGAGGTTCGGCTGCGGGGGCTCCTGGCATCTCCCAGTGCGAAAGGTCAAGAGGTAGGCGGAGCCTCGTCTGGGGGCCTCTCGCAGCAGGGGCAGCACCGGGCTGGCGTGGAGCTAAACACACAGTGGGGGGGATGGGGGCTCTCCCTAAGCCCCGCCCCGCAGGCCACCCATTGGGGAGCAAGAAACTGCCCAGACTGTCACCCACCAACAGGCAGAGCAAAGGGAGTGGGATGGCACCCCAGAATGTCACTGCAGGGGCTCTGGAGGGGCTGTGGGTTACCCACCCCTACATCACTCTTAACGCTTCACTTCCACGTGGTTCATAGACTGGGCTTCAGAGTAGAAGGTGCCTTTAAGTAAAGGAATTCCCCCTCTCCCACCCCCGCCAATTATAAACCACTGGACTAGTCTCAATCCTCATAAATAGCTGAGGAAACTGAGGCCCAGAAAGGGTAAGTGACTGGTCCAAGGCCACCCAGCAAGTGAGTGGTGCGGCCTTTTCCCTTTGTGTCTCCAGGGACCCCTGGTGTATTCTGGAGGCCTGTGACTCTACTGTCAACACTCTTCAGGCCTATAATGCCCCTCTCTCGAGCTCTAAGTGCTCCAGCTTCAGGGCCAGCCCAACACTGGGGGGCTTCTCCCAACACCTGTACAATCTGCAGACGCCCCCTCCCAACACACACAGGCACACATGCATGCTGCACACACACACACACACACACACACGCACACACACGCACACACACGCACACACTCCTCACCTCCTGGAGGGCTGCAGCCTCACCACTCCCTGGGGGCCCCTTGCCTGGTTGGTCGAGACCCAGAGGTTGGGACTGGGGGCCAGACCCAGGCCCAGGGAGGTCTGGGGGACTGTGCGCGGAGGGGCACATCGGGAAGTTAGGGTTCTGCCTGGGCACCCAATCAGGCCCCACCACTCTCTGCAGCCAGACAGCTTCGGCCATGTACCTGGGGAGCAACAAGCCAGATGCGAGTGGTTGTGGCCCTCCTGGCCTGGTCCCCCTCAGCCTGGGGAGCACACAGCCTGGGCATGGCCCTGCAGGGAGCTGTCACCAATCTCATCCAGGCTGCCATGCCCCTCTAACCCCATTTCTTGGAGCAAGAACCCACAGAGGCAAGGAAGGGGAAGCTCCAGAGACTCCCACAATGCCCTGGAGAAAACTCCAAAAGAAGGAGAATAGTGAGCGTAAGGTGCTGGGAGCTATGCTAAGGGGCCAGCGGAGACGCCCCAGCTTCACCCCGCCCCACCCGCGCCAGGGGCCACCGCTCAGGCCTCTGCTTTGCCAACTCACTTGGGTCCCAGCGGTGCACAAATTGTTAAATACCAGTTGCTGGCACAGCCGTGGTCGAAGGGGTTGTGTCCTTCCAGGTATCGGCACTGGGCGGGGGTGTGGGGGGTCGAGGACAGGAAGAAGAGCTCAGATCCAGCAGGACTGGGCAGGCCACCCCCACCGGCCCTCCCTGCACCGGTCAGCTCAGCCCAGGGCTGCAGCAAGACTCCAAGGACAGAGGAGCCAGGAGAGTCAGGCGCGGCGTCCCCAACCCACTTCTGAGCAGCTCTGGCACTGCACCCACCTCTCCTGCCTGCTCAGGGATCCCTCCCCATCACCTTGTATCCCCTTTCGCACTGTCCTCCCCCACTGTCTCATTTGGCCACACACATCCTCCTGCTACCTCCTTCCAGATCCTTTTGGATCTTCCTTTTGCTGATAAACTACTCCAAAGACAGTTCTCCACCCATGTTCCCTCAACTCCTCTACTTTCCCACATCTCATTCTTCCTCAAATTGTGCCTTCACTGAATTTCACTATCTGGAAGGACAGTTTGTGGTGCCTCATCCTATTTCCCTAAGCAAAATCACATGGCCTTGGAAATCTGGGCTGAAGCTCCTGAGCACCCAATGCTTGACCAATGTCAAGCCCAAAGGTCAAGTCCTCCCCTGGAAACTCTTGACCAGGTTTTCTCCTCCTCCCCTCCTTCTGCCCATCAGCCTCGCCCCCTCCTCCTTCCCAGCACAGGCTGAGTTTCATGGGGACCTCAAGAGCCTTAGCTACAAAGTGTTTGTCACGTCCTAAAGTGGCCCAAGAGCACCTCTGCCCACCACCAGCTCGCCTGTGTCCCATGCCCTTAACCATTGTGATTTTTTGAGTTCTCCCTACTTTAAGGTGTTTCAAGAACTTAAGGGAAACTGGCATTCTACTCTCAATTTTAATTAAATGGTTAGAAGAGTTTGATTAAACTTACAATCAGAATTTTAAATCTAGAGAAATAAATTTTGATTTATTAGATGTACACGAAGAATAGAAAAATGTTGATTGCTCAGTGCTTAAAGGGATGGGAATTGTTTAATGAATTCATAAGAACTGACTAATAAAGTAGAGCCCTTCCTCTCCCCATATGGGACCCTCATCCATGAATGGAATCCAACAGCTCGGAAGTTCCCAGACCGTCCTCTCTCACCGGCTTCAGGCCTGGTCTCCTGCTCCAGTTCTGTATCTCAAACGCCCTCATGCTCCACAGACCAAAACCAAAGTGGGTATCTACTCGCCCCATCTCCTGCCCAATTCCCTGCTGCCTCTGCTCTCTCTCCCCTTCTTCCCCAGGGATCAGGGAGTCAGACTTCTCTCTCTTTCTCTCTTTCCTTCTCTCCCAAAGCATTATGGATTCCTTTGTTTGTAGGTTCACTCATTTGTTCATAAATATTTGGGGACCTCAACACTGTTCCAGGCATTGCTCTGGGGACTGAGGACACACCACAGACAACAAGGCCAGCCTTAACTTTCAGGGTGCTGAGGGAAGTTGGGGAGTGGTCAGGGCAGCACAGAGAGGGGATTGGTGAGAAGAGCAGGCCGCCCGGCCAACACTCCAAGGTGCAGGCAGGGAAGCAGCAGCCCAGGGCAGCAGAGAGAGCTGGACCCTGAGAGGCTGGGGAAGGGCCACAGCAGGTACGTTCTGTTTCAGATGCTGCTCTGTGCAGCCTGGAAAGATTAGTCTGAGGATTGCCCGCTGGCTTTGGCCACTTGGAGAGTGCAGCATCAGTATGACAGTGAGGACGGAGGCTGGGCTGAAGTGGGCTGAGGAAGGTGAAGAACGACGCTAGTGAGCACAGCCAATGCTTTCAGGAAATCTGGTTGCGCTGGAGGGGAGAGTACAACAGGGGAGGCCTGCGATGTTAAGGGATGTTTGCTTTGTTTTTAAGATGTGAGAGACAAGAACATGTGTACTGATGATGGGAAGGAATGGCAATAATGATGACCTATGGGGCACTTACTCACACCAGCCACTGTTCTATGTATCTCACACACATTAACCCATGCTGTCCCCTTTTACGGATGGGGAAACTGAGGTACCAGATGGCTAAGTAACACAGCCAAGATCTCCCTGCTGGTGTGTTGTGAAGCTGTGATTTGAATTTATGTGGTCTGGCTCCAGAGCCCTCGTGATCTAAGCAAGTGGCCCAGCAGAAGTTGTGGTCAAGGGATGGAGGTAAGAAGGAAATAAAGTTGAGGTGTGTGAAGAATGCCTGAAATGGGTTCTGGTAATGGGAAAGAGCCCTGCCTGGTGAATCACAGAGTGCAGATCACATTTAGGTTTCTTAAGGCTGAAGATCCTGGATTAGGACAGCCCCATCTGAGCAGGGGAGGGAGGGCAGGTCTATGGCCTGACCTGGGCTAGAAGAACCACAGGACGTGGGAAGGGAGAATGCTGCCCAGGAGAGGCTGAAATGAGGGACTGAGGCTGGAGAGAGAAGACATGCAGACCACAGGGAGCTGATGAGTCAGGGCTGCACAGAGGAGTCACAGGTGGGCTGGGAACCAAATATGGGTGGGGTGGAGTGATTAAGTGGTGACTGGAAGGATGGGAAATGGTGGGCAAAGAGGGTTCCTCTGTCCTTTCAGCTGTCTCAAGGTCTCAGGACCCTCCCTCATTGATGTGACCTACGACAGTCTTCCTAAAACAGCCTTTAGTCAAGTCATTGCCATGTGGAAGGAATCCCATGGCAAGGGTGTTCACTTTTACCACTCCTAATCAACACAGTACTGAAAGTCCAAGACAGTGCAGTAAGAAAAGAAAAGGAAATAAAGCCATACACGTTGGAAAGGAAGAAATGAAACTGTCCTTTTCACAGATGACATGATTTTCTATGTAGAATCAACAAAAAAACTATTAGAACTAATAAGTGAGCCTAGAAAAATTGCAAGATTCAAGACTAATAAACAAAAATCCATTGTATTTTCTTATAATAAACAAATGGAAATGAAATTTTTAAAAATTATAATAGCACACAAAAATGAAATACTTAGAAAAAATCTAACACAATGTAGTCAAGGTCTACATGATGAAAACTGTAAGACATTAATGAAAGAAATCAAAGAAGCCCTAAATAAATGGAGAGTTATACTACTTTCATGGGTTCAAAAACTCAATATTGTTAAAATGTCCATTTTCAAAATTGATCTCTAGGTTCAACACAATCCAAATGAAAATCTCAGCAAACATTTTTTGCAGAAATTGACAAGCCGCTTCTAAAATTTATATGGAAAATCAAGGTAACTAGAATAGCCGACAGAACTTTGAGAAAGAACAAAGTTGAAGAACTCACATTGTATGATTTCAAGACAATATAAAGCTACTAAGCGAGGCAGTATGATACTGGTAAAAGGACAGAGAGTCCAGAAATACACCCACACCTCTATATTCAATTGATTTTTGACAAATGTTCAAAGGCAACTCAATGGAAGGATAGTCTTTTCAAAAAATGGTGAACAACCCATAAGCAAAAAAAAAAAAAACACAAAAAAAAACCCATAAGCAAAAAAAAAAATCTTGACCATACCTTGCATCATATACAAAATTTAACCCCAAATGAATCATAGTCCTAAATATAAAACCTAAAACTATAAAACTTCTAAAAGAAAACGTATGAGAAAAATCTTTGTGACCTTGGGTTAAGGAAAGATTTCTTAATTACACACCAAAAGCACAATCTATAGAAGAAAAAACTGATAGAGGGACTTCCCTGGTGGTCCAGTGGCTAAGACTCTGTGCTCCCAATGCAGGGGGCCCAGGTTCAATACCTGGTCAGGGAACTAGATCACACATGCCGCAACTAAGAGTTCGCATGGTGCAACTAAAGATCCCATGTGCCACAACTAAAAGATCCCATGTGCTGCAACTAAGATCTGGCAAAGCCAAATAAATGAATAAATTAAAATAATAATAAAAGGAAAACATATTTAAAAAAGAAAAGAAAAAACTGATAACATACTTCAAAATTTAAAACTTCTGATCTTTGGAAGACACTGTTGAGAAAAATGAGATGACAAACCACAGACACGGAGAAAATATTTCCAAACCACATGTCTGAATCCTGAATAAATAAAGATTTCTTAAAACTCAATATTAAGAAAACTACCCAATTTTTCTAATGGGCAAAAGACTGGAACAGATATTTAATCTAAGACATACTGATGGTAAATAAGAACATGAAAAGATGTTCAAAATCATTAGTCATTAGGAAAATGCAAATTAAAACCACAATGAAATGTCACTACACATTTATTAGACTGTCTAAATTTTTAAAAAAACTGACAAAGCCAAATGTTAATGATGCAGAGCAACTGGAATTCTCATATATTCCTTACGGGAATGCAAAATGGTGCAGCCATTTTGGAAGACAATTTGGCAGTTTCTTATAAAGTTAAACATACAGTTACCATATGACCCAGCAATGCCAGCCTTAAGTCTATACCCCCCCAAAAATGAAAACTTGTGTTCACATGCCTGTACACCAATGTTTATAGTGGCTTCATTTATAATCACCCCAAATTGGAAACAACCCAAATATCCTTCAATTGGTGAATGGGTAAACAAGCTGTGGCACAGCTATATGATGGAATACCACACAGCAATAAAAAGGAGGAAGCTCCTGATGTGGGCAACAACATGGATGAATCGCAAATGCATTATGCTAAGTGAAAGAAACCAGACTCAAAAAGCTATGATTACATTTATGTGAGATTCTGAAAAAGGAAAAACTATTGGGATAGAAAACAAATCAGTGGGGACTTCCCTGGTGGCACAGTGGTTAAGAATCCGCCTGCCAATGCGGAGGACACAGGTTCGAGCCCTGGTCCGGGAGGATCCCACATGCCGCGGAGCAACTAAGCCCGTGCGCCACAACTACTGAGCTTGCGCTCTAGAGCCCGCGAGCCACAACTACTGAGCCCGTGTGCCACAACTACTGAAGCCTGCGCGCCCTAGAGCCCATTCTCCACAAGAGAAGCCACCGCAATGAAAAGCCTGTGCACCGCACCGAAGAGTAGCCCCCGCTCCCCGCAACTAGAGAAAGTCCGCGGTGCAGCAACAAAGACCCAACGCAGCCAAAAATAAATAAATTAAAAAAAAAAGAAAAGAAAACAAATCAGTGGTTGCCAGGGGCTGCAGATAGGGAAAGAAACTGACTCAAAAGGCCATGAGGGAATTTGGGGGTGGGAGGGGTTGGGGTTGATGGAACTGTTCTAAATCTTGGTTATGGCGGTGGTTACAGGACTTATGAGTTGGTCAAAATTCACACAACTGTGCACGTAAAAGGGTAAGTTTTACTGTATGTAAAGAAAAAACCCTATCAAGGCTCCCGGGTTTCCACTGCACCAAGATTAAATTATCCACCTGACTTCTTTGCCTTTTAAATCTGGCCAATCCCAGGCAGACCACTTGCCCATGCCACAGCTGCTCCAAATAGAACTGTTTCCTCATCATCCTATCAACATTCCACAGGCTTTCAGGCTTCCCAGCTTTTCTAAAAGCTTTGCCCATCACTGCAATGCCCTTCCCTCGATTTATGCCCGTCCGAAACCACTAAGTGGCACGTCCTACCCTACACTGAAGTCCTCACTGAACTCTCAGTGCTCTCTCTGAGTCTGTGCTACACAACGTAGGCAGGCCCCTCTCCCAGAGTGTTCGCGGGTGTCTGGCGAGGGTTACTCTGATTTCCGGTTCCTTGTCAACGCAAGTGCAGGAGGCAGCCTTACTCACCTTCCCGCCCATAGCTCAAAATAATGCGCACGCGCCTAGCACACAGTAGCGCACCTTCGACGCAGCGCACCCAGGAAGGAGAGTGACCACCGACCTCCAGGAGGACGTGAGATCTGAGCTGAATTTGAGTCTGGAAGGACTAATGAGGCACCTTCGAGAGAAGTCAGGCCATCAAGGACCAGGGCGTTGCAGAAAGCGGAAAGTGCGGAAGTCCGGAAGGGGCAAGGTGACCACCCACAGCCCGATATAGTGGCGCCCCGCTCGGCCCCACGTACCTTGCCCTCGTAGGAGCGCTCGGCCGCGCTCACCGACATGGCCTGGATCAGCAGCAGCAGGAAGAGTGGCACCAGGAAGCCGGCGGCGGGTACAGCCACCACGATGCTGCGCACCGGCTAAGGAACAGCGCCTCCGGCCAGTCCTCCTCGGCCCCGCCCTTCACCCACCCCGACCCCAAACTGCCCCGCCCACGAGCCCCGCCCACCCTCTCTCTGCGCTCTATCCCAGTGTAAACCTCACCTCACCCTGCTGTCCAGGCCCCTGTGCCACCTCTAGCACTTCCCCTCCTTGACCCTGCTAGATGCTCACCCCTTCGCAGTTCCTCCTATCCCCACCCACCTGCCCGACTCTACCCACCGTCACCTAGTCCCACACTGGTCCTCCCGAGCGGCTTCGCGGAAAACCCCGCCCACCACTACCTCTGCACCGCCCCCTCCCCGTGACCCCCCTCCTCCGCTGTCTCCGCCCTCCCCACAGCTCCCCTCGTGGGTCCCGCAGCCCCTCAGATACGCAATAGCCTTGTCCATGGAGAAGGGCAGGTGGGTCGTGCGCACCAGGAAGATCAGACAGGTGACCAGCATGGCACCTGAGTAGAGGCATAGTGACAGGACGAGCAGCATAAAGAAGCGAAAGTTGCGGTGACCAATGCAGTTATTGACCCACTTGCAGTGGTGATCAAAGTCCTAGGTGAGAGGGAGAGGGGGACCTCGAGGACCCAACCTCTGACTCAGGCTCCGTTGCCCCCAAATCTGAGGCCTTACCCCCACCCTCTAAGCCCTTGGCCTCATGCACTGGCTCCCATTCCTAGGAAGACACTGAGCCACAAAGTCCCTAACACTGCTGGCATTTCTGTGGTTAGAGCACCATACGGCTCTGTGGCTCACATAGTTTCATGTCAAGAGGCCTTTAGAGCCGGGGCCTGCTAGTCTTCTCTGGGACACATCCTGGTGTAACTTCAGGCAGGACATAGAATATCTCTGGGCCTCTGTTTTCTTATCCACCGGATGAGCCTAATAATAACATCCTTGCCCAGCCAGTCTCCCAGGGTTGTAAGGACCAGTTAAGACAGCACATTGGTAAACTGTTGCAGGCTGTGCACTTAGAGCCCAGGAGACCAGGAGACCCTCTGGCCTGGACAGCCAGAAGAGGACAGGCAAAGTTCCCCTGGCCAGGCCTGCAACCTGCCTGAGGGCCTCGGGCATCTAGTGTCAGTGAGCCCTCGATAAGTCAGGGGTATCTTTCCTTCCCCTGGCCTGACCAGGCCCAGCATAGATGTGGATGCCCCTCTGCATGTCAGCACCAGTGCAAGAAAGGGCCAGCCTCCCAGGAAAGGTGCAGGCACAGTGGCAGTGACTTGTATGAGTGACCAAGAGTGACTGGGAATTACTGCCACCCTTGGTCTTTAGCAGTCCTGGAAGTAGTTTCACACTGACCACAGGCCCCCGTGTGAGTGGGCCTCCTGGTCCCCGGCAGGTGCTGGGAGGGTAGGTGGGCAGGTGAGAGGCACTTACCTCCACACAGATGTTGCACCAGGGGCAGTGGTAGGTCCGGGGCGGACGGTGGAAGCAGCACTTAGGGCACCACTGCAGGCGGAAGGCCCTGTGGTTCACCCATACCACATGCACCATCGTGGGGCCCTGTTCATTGGAGCCTGGCATGGGAAAGGGATTGAGCAGCAGCAAGAGGCCCTTCCGTCAGTCTGCTGCAGCAGAAGGGTGTGGGCACGCAGCCCCACAGCATCACTGGGCTCCAAGAAGGGTGGGGACCAGGTGGGCAGGGGACTCCTTAGTCCCCACTGAGCAAGCTGGCCAAGCTTAGAGAGGCTGGCAGTCAAAGGGAAGGTGGGTTTCCAGCCCAAGGAGTTCTTTGAGAACTCAGGCCTTTGCCACTGTGAGCGATGCTTTAAGGAATCTGTGTGGTAGGAAGGAGGAAGAGAAAACTGAGTGGTTGTGAAGAGCTGGCTTCTCTCCCCAGCCTACCCTAGCCCTCCCCTCCAAGGCTACTGGAAAACCTCCAAAGTTCTGTTTTTCCACACCTCTGTGGCTTGAGCACACGAGGACATGGGGTGAAGGGGTCCTGAGGCCCCAGACGGGGAGATGGAAGGAGCACTTTAGGAGTCATCCCAGCAGGCAGGAGCCCTTCGGGTGCTGCCTCCTTCTCCCAGGGGGCCAATGTCTCACCTTGATGCAAGATGCCAGGGTCTGAGAAGTTGAGTGAAACGAGACTGAAGAAGGTGAGGATAAAGAGGAGGCCTGTGACGATGGGAAAGGCCCATTCCCCGTTCTGGGCCAGCCACCTGCAACTGAGACCAGAGCAGGAGTCAGCCCTGATCTGGGGTGGCCTGAAGCTCCCCCCAGGACCCAGTCCACTGGGTCAGGACCCACAGACCATAAATCCTGGTCTAAATATCCAGGCTAGTGACAGATCCATAGAAACTCCACCAAAGGTCATCGAGTATTACCAGCCACCCGCAGCTCCCAGGTGCACCAAGCACTCGGTACCTCTGTGCCTTCACACGTCCAGTTCCCTCTGCCTAGAACCTCTTCCTTTCCCTGACCCCTCTTCTATACCCTCCCTGCCTCCATACTATCGTTATGTGTTTTCCTTTCTGTTGCTCTGTAAGAAACCTGTCAGCTTGTGTGGGAGACTTACGGGAATGCGAAGAAGAGGCCACTGAAAACGACCAGCAGCACCACGTTGAAGGCGGCAAATAGGCTTGGGAGGATCCAGGAGGGTGGGGCCTGAGGCGGGCTATGGGGCTCCTTCAAGAGCGGCATGGCTGGACCTCCCATGGCCCCAGGGGAGATTAGGGCCCCCAGGCTCCCTCCCCACTGCTGGCTCCAGGAGCCCCATGGCCACAGCAGCCTCAGAAGCCACAGCCCAGGGTGGAGGGAAAGAAGTCGCAGTGTGACATCACAGAGGCTGAGGAGAGTGGGGGCTAGGGGCCCTTCAGCAGCCCTGTCTGCCATCTGTGACCGTCACTTCCAACAGCAAACCATACCCCTACTTGTGCTGGGGACAGAGAGGTCCTGCCCCTGCGAGGTTCGAGACTACATGAGATTAGAGCAACACGTGGGGAGAAGCTGGGTGATACTACTCACCGTTTCAGGCTCAGTGCTAATCAAAGCAAACGGTGTTCATTGTTCTATCTCCATTTTTTCCTTGTTGTTGTTACAAAATTGCACTTTGGGGGAGGAGGCAGCTAACTCTCCTTGTTTCCAGGTTTGGCTTCACAACACAATTCTGGTCAATGAGACATAAGTGGATGTCTGAGCGTTTCTAGAAAGGCTTTTGCTTTCCTGATAAAAGGGGGAAAAGACAGAGTTGGTGCAGCTTTGCCCCTTTCTTCCTGTTTTGAACCTGGACGTGCTGGGCTTGGTCCACCTCGACCCATTAGGCAATAAGTCAACATGGGACACGAACAGAATGACAGTAATGACACTGAGTCACTGCCCCAGCCTTGAACCGCCTCCTCTGAGCTGTTTATTATGTGAGAAAATAACTGGGTTTTCTCTTACATACAACTGATATTTGTCATTTATTTTAGTCACTGAGCATCTGAACCCCTCTGTGTTTGGAGGATCCCTGAACTATAAGTCTTGATGAAGGGCAAAGACTTTCTCCATCCCAACTGAACCTGAAAATGCCAGATACTTGTATTCGAAGCCTCTCTTGCAGCTAACACACAGACCTGTGACTTGGGTGCCACCAATTAGCCTCAGATCTGCTACCACCAACCAACTGAGGAGTCCACTGAGATGCAGCAACTGTCCTTTTAAAACTTAAATCATGGCCTCCGATTAGAACCTTCCAACTGCTTCCCTGCCCACTCAGAGTAAAGGTCAAAGTCCTTACCATGGCCTTCAAGGCCCTCCCTGATCTGGCCCCACTAACTTTCTGACCTCATTTCCCAACACTCAGCCTCATAGTCACTCCACACTTGCCAGGCACACTGGCCTCCATGCTGTTCCTCAAACACACGTGGTATAGTCCAGTCCTGGGTTCTTCACACTTGCTCTTCTCTTTCCCTGGAATTCTCTGCCACATATATTCACAGAACTTGTTCCCTCACTTCATTGTATTCTTTTTGTTCCAGCGGTGCCTTCTGCCGTTATCCACATGCCTGCATCTCCAACTGTTTCCCTACAATAGATTCCTAACAGTTGGATTTAGGGCCAATGAATACGAATATTGAAAACATATTTCAGAGTCGAGTCGTTGCCTTACCTGACTTGGACGTGTCTCTCGCCTGCGTCCACTCTTCGCGTCCTGTCATTCCAGTCTTGTGCTGCCCAGTGCCCGCCTGCAGGATGGCCCATGAGCAGATCTGCTACTCGGACGAGTACTTCGATGAGCACCACAAGTGCTGGCGTGTCATGTTACCCAGAGAACTTTCCAAACATGTACCCTAAACCCATCTGATGTCTGAAGAGGAGTGGAGGAGACTTGGGAGTCTAGGCTGGGTTCATTACACGATTCATGAGCCAGAAGCACACTTTCTTCGCTTCATACGACCTCTTCCAAAAGGTCAACAAAAATGAAGTATATCTGGGGATCATCAATTAAATCTTTTTCAAATTTAATGTATATGTGTATATAAGGTAGTATTCAGTGAATACTTGGAAAATGTACAAATGTACAGATCGTTCATCCATGTCTCTGCATGAGCTCTATTCTTCACAGCAACAGAGCTCAGTTAAATGCAACTGCAGGTAGGTTAACTATAAGGCGGTTAAGATAAAATTTCTTCTAGCCAGTTTTTCTCTTAATATAAATGCCTGTTTGACTTTACCTGTTACTTTTGTTAAATAAAGTTTGTATGTCACATTTTAAGAAAATTTAAAATAAAACATATTTTACATTATTTACAAATGCTTTCTAGAGAGTTTGTGCACGTTTATACTATTATGACCATACCCATATCATAATACTAACACTATAATTAGGTATTAATGTAAAATAATTTCTCCAATTTTATAGATGACAAATGATAACTTGATCTTTTAATTTATATCTCCTTAAATTACTTATGAAATTAAATATTTTTATATATCTATAGGTCATTTTATTGTAGTTTTGTGAATTGCCTGAACTCTTTTTCTTATTGTGGTAAATATACATAACATAAAACTTATGTTATGTATAAACCATCACTACTATCCATTCCAGAACTTTTTCATCATCCCAAGTGGAAGCTCTGTACCATTAAACAGTAACTCCTCATTCCCTCTCTCCCCAGTTCCTGGTAACCACTGTTTTACTTCCTATCTCTATGAATTTGACTATTCTAGGCACCTCACAAAAGTGGAATCATACATCTGTCCTTTTGTATCTGCCGTCTACCACTTAGCATAATGTCCTCAAGGTTCATCCTTGAGCTCCAGCAGTCTTGGAAGTTGGTATGTTGTAGCATGTATCAGAATTTCCTGGCTTTTTAAGACTGAACAATATTTAATTGTATGTATATGGCACATTTTGTTTATTCATTCATCCTAAACGTTGATGGACGTTTAGGCTCTTTCCACCTTTTGGCCATTGTGAATAATGTTGCTATGAACATGCGTGCACAAATGTTTATTCAGGTTCCTGCTTTCAATCTTTTGGGTCATATGGTAATTCTATGTTTAGTTTTTTGAGGAACTGCCATAGTATTTTCCATAGCAGCTGCATTATTTTACATTCCTGCTAACAATGGACAAGGGCTCCAATTTCTTCTCATCCTTGCTAACACTTTTTGTTTTCTTCTGTTTTTGTTTGTTTGTTTTTTTACAATATCTATCCTAATGGGTATGAAATGATATCTCATTGTGCTTTTGATGGGAGTGTTGGGTTTTTCTTTCTGATTTGCAGGAGCTCTCTTATATTAAAAATTTTGGTCGTGTTTATTACAAATATGTTCCCAATTATTGTTTGCCTTTTAATTTTGCATGCAATATTTAGTGTATAAAGTTTTTGTTTTTATATAATCAAATCTATGGATCATTTCCTTAGCATCATCTTATCTTATTTCTATGTCTTTCCCCTCCTTCTATCTGATAAATATTTAACTATATTTAACTCCTTCTATCTGATAAATATTTAACTATATTTCTTGTTTTCTTTTTCATTTAACTCTTTAACCTACCTGAAATTAATGTAAGGGTAAGATACAAGGTATAGGTCTATCTAATCGTGTATTTTCCTCATGTTGTTATAATCAGTTGTTCCAGCATCATTTATCAAATAAGCTTTCCTTTCCCTCTTACGACAGATACTAAGTTCTTCATGTGCACTAAGATCTGCGGGTAGCACTATGAGGTGCCTCCCAGAACCCCCTTCAGGAATGAAGATCTTATCCCCCCAGTGGCTAGAAAACAGCCTCAGCTTTGGGGATTGCCTCCCCTAAAGAAAATTGCCTCACCCAGGGTCCCACCTCCTTCCAGGGGCAGGTTGCCTCCAAGGAGTGGTCCAACATGAGGTTATAAAGGCCCAGACACTTTGCCCCAGTGCAGGACAAATCCGAAGGGCCATCCTAGCCCCCATGTGACCTTGCAGTTGGCTGAGGCTTTTATTAGGCCCTTACCACAGATTGACTTCTCCCTTTGCTCAGCCCTGCTTCCTTCCCTTTCCTTTCTTTCCCTTGCCTTCCACAGGTGTTGGTCCCAAAATCATCCCCTAATAAACACCCTATGTGCTAATCTCTAGAGTTTGTTTGTGGACTTTTTCTTTCATTGATTTATTGAATTTAGCACCCTGTATTTCAATGTTTGTAGTTTTAGAATTCAGGAGCCTTTTTGCGTTCTTAGTTGTCATCATCTGAATCCCTAAACTTATAACGTTGTGTAGTAAACAAAAACATCAGAACACAAAAATATTCACTAATGAATGAGAAATGAGGCCCCACTCAAATATCACCTTTCCTTTAATACTAGCATCTTCCTTTTACATCTCAACTGCAATGCAAAACAATGCCAAGTACAGGTACGATGACAACTCATTGCAAAGTGACATTTTAAATCTTGCAAAAGAAGCAGCATCTTATGATGTTGATAGGCATTATATTAGAATGCAATTTAAATTTTTTTAATTTTAAAAAACTGTATTTTTATTAACACTGGTTTTAACATTATATACTTTTCATGTGTAGGACATTATATTTCCAATTCTGTATACACTTACAGTATGTTCACCACCAAAAGTTTCCATCCATCAACATGCAGTTGATCCCCTTTATGCATTTCATCCTCCCTCCCGCCCCTTACCGTCTGGTAACCTCTTGGTTACCAAACCAAAACTGATTGGTTTTGGTTTGATTTGGTTCGTTTATTTATTCTGGGTTTTTTTTTAAAGAGATAATATTATTTAAATGACCCCAAAAGTAATCAACCAATAAGGGGCTAGTCTAAAACAGCTTAGAATTGAAGAATGGGATATCAATAAGGTTGATAACATGGTAGACTCTTCAAAAAAGAATGCCTAAGGCTTCACTGGTAAATTATACCAAACGTTAAAGAATAATGAACACCAGCCCTTCTCAAACTCTTCCAAGACATAGAAGAGGAAAGAAGAAAGAACACTTCCTAATTCATTATATGAAGTTAATATTACCATGATACCCAAGCCATATGAAGACATTACACACACACACACTCACAAGATCCCACATGCCACAGGGCAAATAAGCCCACGCGCCACAACTACTCAGCTTGCACACCTCAACGAGAGAGCCCTAGTGCCACAAACTACAGAGCCCATGCTCTCTGGAGCCCGTACGCCACAACCAGAGAGAGAAAACCCACACGCCACAACTAAGAGAGAAGCCCACATAGAAGATCCCGTGTGCTGCAACTAAGACCGACACAGCCAAAGAAATAAAGAAAATAAATAAATTTTTTTAAAAAGAAGAAATACAGTATTTAAAAAAATAATAAATATAAAATGATTGAGGAGTACTAGGGAAAACTGATGAAATTTATGGTTGGTTGGTCTTTTTTTTTTCAAAAATTACCCTTACACTGAGAAAGCCAAAACTGAAGTGATAGATGTCTTATCATGTTACCATATGGTTTTGTGGAGAAAATTAAACCCAAAAAAAGAAAAATGAAGTGAAGAATTCGTTCTTTTTCTTTAATAGGTTATTACTTTTTAAAATATTTATTTATTTATTTGGCTGTGCCGCGTCTTAGTTGCAGCACGCAGGATTTTTGTTGCTGCATGCGGGATCTAGTTCGAACCTGGGCCCCTGCACTGGGAGCACGGAGTCTTAACCACTGGACCACCAGGGAAATCCAAAGAATTTGTTTCTCTTGATTCTAAAAATCAGTGTTTGACAGCTAGCAGTCCTAAATTAGCAAGAGAAGAACCTGATTGGCTGGTCCAGGTCACCTTCCTGATACGCCTTAGCTATGGATGGCTCGGCCTTAACTAACTCATGGGTCCCACTGTGTAGAAGATAGGGACTTTGGTTCAGACAGAAGTACCACATCAGCACTAAAGCCCTCCCTCTCACCAACCCCCTGCCATTCTTCCTTCCATCATCATCCATCCTGAGGATTAGCCAGTCTCCCCTGGGCCTCCCAGTGCCTGCTGCCCGGCTGCGGAAACATGAGTGTCAGCCCAGCAGCCTTCCCTTTCCAACTCCCTCCTGCTCTTCAAACCTCCTCTCCTGCCTCCACCACCCCCGACCCCCCATTTCTGTCCCAAAGAAGTTTCAGAGAACATCCTCAGCACACTGTGTTCTCCTATAGGGAAGTCTAAAGTTCAGGGCTCTGGGCGGTTAAGCTCAAGGCCTCTTACCGGGCTAGAGATGAATGACCCAGGGAGGATGGAACACTCCTGTGGAAATGGTTGAGGAAGTTGAGTCAGCCTGCGCCTTGCTAGGGTGGGGCCCAGGCGACTGACCCTCCGGAGGTTAGTGCCCTTGTCTTATGTGTTGTGCCCTTCCCTCTACCTTAGGAGGTAACTGGCCCCTAAGACTCCTGGATCACTACATTGTCCTGTCCAGAGAACTGTACTTTAGGAGAAGGGTAAAAAGGGAGAGGGCTCTTCTTGAAACTCAGGAGATATTTTGAGGTGCTGTGGGACAGGAGGAGGGAGTCTTCTTGGTCCACATCAGTAACTTCTTCCTCTGATTGTATTTACTTACCAGCCCAGAGCGGGGGGATTTCTCTACCTTCCCAGAACTGATTCTCTTGACCCTCTCATGGGCCTTTTTTCTTCTCTCTTCCGTTTTTTTACCATCGAAAACTTCATCTGAGCCTCAACACAGACCCTGACCCAGGTCCCTTCTGCCTCTCTCCACACCTCCATGTCTTTCTATCCAACCTGGTGTCATAACGCCTCTGAGCCTCAGTTTCATTATCTGTAACGTGGGAATAAAGATAGCATTTACCTCATAAGAGTAATTGTAAGGTTTAAATGAGATAAGGAACATGCAGCAATTCCTACAGCACCTGGTGCATGAATGCTCAATATACATTAGCTACTGTTGCTATGATTTTATTATTTTATCATTCATGCAACCAATTCTAAGGAGCACTTACTATGTGTGAGGTCCTGTGCTGGGAACTTAGGGGTACTATGCTTGGCCTTAAATAGGTTTAAATCTACTTGGAGAGAGAAGAGAAACCACCAATCAATAAAATAGTTCAGAAGCATACAATTTGGCGGTTTTTCAGAATCTGTCAGAATGCCCAGAAATCTCACTCAGTAACTCTGCCTCTTAAATACACCCTCCCCCACTCCCCATTTGCTGCATCTTCGGGGGTTGTGGCGGGGGGTGCTGTTTGGCTGGATGAGCCTGTCATCAGGATGCTGTGGGCTGGGCTTTGGGAAGCCCACATGGGCCTTGTCTGGACTTCCTGGCTAGCCCTCCCTTCCACACTCCAAGCCAACAGCACCAACACAGTCAAGGCCTCAGCCCTGACTTCCATCTTCAGGGGGACAGAGCCAGCGTTCCAGCCAGATTCTGAGGGAGAGGGTGTTGCTGACCAGGGGGTTTTGCCGGGAGGACCAAGGATTTTGTCTCTAAAAGGCTCCTTAGGAGGGATGGAGGGTGAGGGCGGGCTGGGGGCAAGGGGCAGCCAGAGGCATTTGTGGGAGGGAGGAAGGAGGGGCCACACCTACCGACAGGGAGGAGTAGGAACCAGGGAACTCAACCAGCCAGCCGAGGGGATCAAATTCCTCTGCGGTGAACTCTGAGATAGGAGCTTGTGGGCACGGAGGCCTGAGAAGGGAGAGAGCCAGAGGGGAAGACCCAGCCACTCCACCTACCCACAGCCCAGTCCCGCAGGCAGCAGAGCCGGCAGGAGCCACCTTCCCTGGGGCCCACGCCTGCCTGTCCCTCCTGGGTCCTCAGTGCCTGCCAGGAAGGAAAGCCGGAGAGAAAAAGGAGACAATGGAGCCAGACAGGACTCAGATAAAGCTTGATCCCAGGTGAGTGAGGGAGGCAAGCCCCGAGCCAGGAGCCGGTTGCTAAGCAGCAGGGGCCCCTCTCACTCTGACCTGTCCCTACCTCCCTCTCAGGGCCCTTTGGCTCCCAGCACACAGAATGACCCAGGACTAATAATGGGCTGGCCATCCCACAAGGTCCTCAGGGACACTGTGGGGTAGGGCGAGTGTATGACCCTTCAGAGCCTTGGCTTTGGCCACCAACCAGGGAGAGAAAGATCCCAGAGGTGGGGGCAATGGGGGGCATGCACAGAGCCCTGACCAGCTGGAGATCCATTCCTGGTACTAAGGATCCACTCCTTCTCTGGGACCCTGCTGTTTCTCCCTAGCCAACCTCTGGGCTTCTGCCCCAACGGAAGTGGAGAAAATGGACTATGGGCTTTTTGAGCACTGCAGCCAGACCTACCCATGGCCTAGGTGGCAGCCTGCCTTACACAGTGACCCAGGCCAATTCTCCATTCCCTCTAAGAGTCAGGGCCTTGAGGGGAGATGGACAAGCTCCCTGAACCCAGGAGTATTTGAGGGAATGTCAGGTTGCTGGTGTTCCTTCTGCTACCCTCCCCGTCCCCAGGTCCCCATATTCTGAACACACGCTGGTGTCTCTCCAGGTACACGGCAGATCTTCTGGAGGTACTGAAAACCAATTACAGCATTCCCTCTGCCTGCTTCTCTCACCCTCCCACAGCAGCCCAACTTCTGAGAGGTGAGTCAGGGACCCTCTGTAGAGGGAACTGAAAGGAGGGAAAAACTGAACATCCCGGGGGAAGTCAGAAAAGCTGAGAGGAGCTGAGGAAAGGTGGTCCTGAGCTAGCCAGCCTGGAGGGCCTGGGAGGATGACTGGCCCAGTGTCTGTCTGTCATGGTAAAAACCTGGGAGAAGAACAACTCCTAGAGGAGACAAAAGGCCAAAAGAGAGGTGCGACAACATGGCCCACAGACAAAGCTGCATATTGGGCCTCCCCAGCTCAAATTGGGGACAGTGGTCTGGAGCATTTTTCAGACCCCAGGGCCACCCAGGGACTCAAGCTGGTGCCCAAAGCCCCATAGAATTCCCTTGAGGTGTGCGCAACATCCTCCTCAGGAGAGGGTCTGTACGATTCTAGTGGGATGGTTATTATGAATAATGTTCTGAAAATTTAGGTGAACCTGTAAAAGTATTCTGACAGTGTTGGCCAACTAGATCCTATTACTGAATTGCTTTTGAAAGTGAAAGGCAGATGATGGGACTCTGTTTATTCCTTGGACACGTAAAACAGGACAATCAAATGACCCTAGCATCTTGAAAAGCAAATGTGGCTCCCATCCACATTTTATTTGGTTTCCCTACTGCGTGACAACACACCAGTATTGTCAACCAGAGGCAATTTTGTCCCACTGGAGACTTTTGACAATGTCTGGAGGCAGTTTCAGTTGCCACAGCTAGAGGGTGCTACCGGCATCTAGTGGATAGAGGTCAGGGATGTTGCCCTGGAAACAAAGGAAAGTCCCCAGGACAAGGAATTATCTGGGCCAATGTGTCAATAGTGCTGAGATTGGGAAATCCTTCCTTACACAATGAAAATGGATCTCACATTGCTTTGCTACAAAATGTGCAAATAGAAGCACCAGGGATGTTCAAAGCAGGGAGACCATTCTGAGCCTGGTAGTCTGGAGAGCTGCCTTGTCCCCAAGTGGAACTGTTGGAGTGGGTAGCAGTTGGAAAATGGAGAGCCGGTGGTGGGCACGGCTGGGGTTGGGGTGGAGATAGAAGGTGCAGGCAGGTTCTCCAGACACTGAGGAGCTGGATCTGGCAAGAGTCAAGGTTACAGGTGGGGAAGCAGGGGACAATTGAGAGGGCTGGGCAGGTAAGGTGGGGCCTGATGAGTGTCAGGCAGAGGAGTTGTACTTTATCCCGCAGACAGAAGGAGCGGACAAGGGCTCTGAGATTGGGAGGGGCTGGATAGTGTTTCAGGATCATTAATCAGCAATCAAGATAGACTTTGGGGAAGAAGAGCCTTGAGAATCAGGGGTATAAATTGGAGGTTATTGCCCCAGCCCAGCAGGAAGGGCAAAACCTGAGCCATATCAGTGTCAGGGAAAGGAAAAGAAGATTGGAAAATACAGGCAATCCAAAGAAAGAGCAGGCAATCTGGTAAATATTTAGACAAGGTAAGTGAAGGAAAAAGAAACTCTAAATGATGACTCCGAGAATCTGGACAGTGGTGATGACACTGACAGAAATAGGAGAGTCAGGAAGAGGTGCCCATTGGAGGATGTGGTGAAACCCCTTCCTCCTTCATTTATAAACTCTGTTATTCCTTAAATTAAATGCCATTTAAGAAAGAACTATTCTGGAAGAACTATTGAAACTTTCAATAATCTGTTTTTGAAATGCCTGTGATATGATTGCAGTTATAATCCCTACACAATTATTTTTTTAATGGACTGATCCAAACATTTATTTGTGGGAGTCAAGGACCAAGAAAAGCCAAGACAATTTTGATAAAGAGTAAGGAAGGTATGTGCCCTACCAGATATTAAGGGTTATATATCAAGACTAGAGTAATTAAAGCAATAATGTAATAACTGCAACCACACAACTCAGATTGGGACTTGAATCCACTGTCTTTTTTTTTTTTCCTTTAAAAAAAAATTTATGTATTTTTGGCCGCACTGAGCGGCATGTCACATCTTAGTTTCCCAACCAGAGGTCAAACCCATGCACCCTGCAGTGGAAGAGAGGACTCTTAACCACTGGACCTCCAGGGAAGTTCCCCACTGTCTTTTCATTGAAATCACATGCCTGGTCTCAGGACTTACTGAAGCCCAGGTTCTTTATGCTTCTGCACAGAAGAAATTCAGTGAACGGCAAAGTGATAGGTAAGAAGTAGATTTATTTACAGAGCTACACACTCCATAGACAGAGTGTGACACATCTCAGAAAGCGAGAGGCCCTGAAATATGGGGTGATTAGTTTTTGTGAGCTGGGTAATTTCATAGGCTAACTAATGGGAGGATTATTCCAACTATTTTGGGGAAGGGGCAGAGATTTCCAGGAATTGGGGCACCGCTCATTTTTTGTCCTTTTATGGTTGGCCTCCAAACTGTCATAGCACCTGTGGATGTGCCATTTAGCATATGCTAATATATTACAATCTGTGTATAATGAGGCTCAAGGTCCACTGGAAGTTGAATCTTCCACTATCCTGGACCTGGTTGTTTCTAACCAGTTTATGTCACATCCTCAAGAGCTATGGTTTTTAGAGGTTGTGTCCTTCCCCCTTCCCTCCTGTTTCACAAGGGTCCTGACAAGCAGAAAAATGAAATAAAATAGAGGGTCTAGAAATAGACCCATGGCCACTTGGGGACTTGCTATATGAAAGGATGGTATACACATCAGTGGGACAGGATGGACTCTTTGAGGAGTGATGCTGAACAATTGCCTGTCCCTATGGCAAGTAAATAAACATGAAAATAACTCCAATATAGCTTTAATCCAGATAGATTAAGTACCTAAATGTAAATGCAAACATTTTTACAAAAGAAAATATGGAAAGATATCCTTATAGTTGGAAGCAGAGAATAATTTCTAAAATAAAACACAAGAAAGCACAAATGATCTTGAAGATTGACTACATAAAGCAAACAAAATTCTGTACAACTAAAAACACTATAAACAATGTTAAAAGCCAAACCAAAGACTGGGAGAAGATATTTTCAAGCCTTATAACCAACAAAGGATGATTAGTCAGTATAAGAAAAATTACCCAATAAAAATTAGATAGAATAGATGATCATACAATTCATACTAGAAGAGGAAACCCAAATGGTCAATAAAGGTACAAAAAGATTATCTGTTTTGTTAGGAATTAGGGAACCTCAAGTTAAACAATGAAATAACATTTCACTACTCTCGCAAAGATGAAAATTGAAAGTCTGATAATCCCAAGTGATGGTGAATTTAAGGTGAACTGTGAACTCTCATAGACTGCTGGTGGGAGTACAAATTGGTATAACCACTTTGAAGAGTAATTAGATACCTTTAACACTGAAGATTCTCATCTCCTACAACCCAGCAATTCTAAGTGTTTGAACAGAGGAACTCTCCTGTACATGCCAAGGAGACACATTTAAGAATGCTTATGGTAGCATTTGTTTGTCACAATGAAAATAATAACAACCATGAAAGCAATGTTGAGTGGAAAAGCATTTCACAGGATAATACCATTTATATAGATTTTTTTAGTGCAAAGCAATATAATATGTTGAGTATGTACATATATTGTAAAAAATTAAAACATACAGGAAAAGATACACCTCAACTTCAGAATAGTAGTTAGCCCTGGGAGGTGAGGTAGGGAAATGAGAAGGATCCAGGAGGTATATACAGGGGCCTTCAAAGTACATCTGTAATGTTTTATTTTTCTAAGAATAACTTTTGAAGCAAAGTTGGCAATATCATAACACTCTTTAAAATGAATTATGGATATATTAATATTTGCTCTATTACTATATTTATTTTTTAAATCTCTATAATTTTAAAAATAATTATAAAAATAATTTTTGACAGGCTGTGATGAAATGTTAGATGAAAAAAACAGAATGCAAAATTTTACAGTATGATTGCAGTAATACAATATGTATGAACTTTAACCAGGATGCTTTTTTTTTTTTAACATCTTTATTGGAGTATAATTGCTTTACAATGGTGTGTTAGTTTCTGCTTTATAACAAAGTGAATCAGTTATACATATAACAGGATGCTTTTTTAAACCTAGTTTTTACTAAGCAAATACTACATTCCATGCTAAGAGGTTTAACTGGAGGATAAACAACCTGCCCAAGATTATAGAGCAAGGAGTAAATGGAATATTACTTTGAATTCAGAGCCTATGCTCTTAACTTCCATGGAAATACATTATGCAAAAATGAAAATAATTTTTGGTTAGGAACTAGCTAGGATTATGGTGATACTCTTTTTTCAAAGTTTTAATGTTCTTATATTGTTTTCATTATTTAAAAAAGTAATCTTCACTGTTACAGATACAGTGGGAAATTTGCTAGTTGCTAAAGGTATAATTGTATTCAAACAGGTGAGTTAGACAAGCATTTCCCAAAACGTGTTCTTTGGAATACTAATCCCAAGGAGTGCTCCATGAAAACAGAGCCTGTAGAAAAATAAGTTTTGCAAAATCTATATTCTGTAACCTCCTTTTGGAAATTAACAATATAAATCAGATTTAAAACTTGGTATACTCCACAGGAAAGAAACATGTTTAACCTTGTTTAAAGTGTTTCCAAAGATCCTTGTGCCACTGGATACTTTTGTTCCAGAACTTTTGTTCTGTTAAGATGCAGAAAAAAAAAAGATAGAGGACAATCTTCCAAGAAGATAGATGAATTTGAAGTAGAGTAGTGGTGTCAGGCTATGTATGCTAAGGAAGTTCTCTCTCTCATACTTTTGTGTTATGGAAGTGGATACAAGAGTCAGTAGATGCTGCAAGTATGAACACCAAAGCCAGCAGATACAAGAAACTGCAAAAGCACTTCCATATTGAAGAGTTGGAATATGGCTCACCTCCACCTTCATCAACTTAAGCAACCTTAGGGCTGCATTTGATCATTTATATCACTCCACATTTCCTTCCATAGCTATGTGAACACACACCAAGAGTCAACATGTGTAATGGTGAAGAGAATGGACTTAGGGTCAGGAACCCCTGGG